CTCCCAAATTGCAAACCCATACGTAATTATCCCAGGCGTTGTGCTCGTGGTTCACTTTAGCAGCTGATGGAGGGGAGCATCAGTTCGGATCGGTGCGAAAGGGTACAGGAGAACTGTCTTGATTTTCGTAGAGAAGTGGAAGGCTAGCCTCCATCTGAAAACAAGAAGAATTCATGGTGGTCATCGAAATAGCAATTAAACATCCAAACCTTGAGAATTGTTGTGCAAGTCCGAAGTTTGTGCTTGGGTAGAACAAGTATACGTAGATTGCCGTCAATTAGTTTAGGGGTAAAGGGTTAAAGGGCTAGCCTTTTTACCAACTGTATCGGTTCTTTTCTGGAGATGCGCAGATCAGCCCGTTGCCTTCTTATTGCTCTGGCAATGGGAAGACAGCGGGGAAATTGCAGCGGCGCCAGCTAGAGAACAATGAACGATTCCACACATCGCGATGGGCCAGTGTTCAGAATCGTGAAGGCTGAAAGATGCAGAGCCGGTCAGTGCCTTTTGCACAAGATTCAGTGCCAAAGCGCAACATGCTTTGCGTGCTGAAACGTCACCATTGGTGCTCGGCAAGGGACAACGAACACAGTGACAGCGGTTAAGAACTAGAAAAGAACAAGCAGGTGTGAAAGGCTAGGTTCATGGTCACCATGGTAAGTGATGACGACGCTCCGATTTGCAAACTGTGGTCAAATGTTTGGCGAATTTTGGACTTGATGAGTGAGCGGCTTCTCAAAACGAGTATTATGTAGCGACGCAACGCAATGGAACACTGTAGCATTAGTGCTCGCGCGCAACTGTGGAATGCTGGAACGCGAAGAAAGAGGGCGATGTGAAGCGCCTCGCTGGCGATTTCGTTGTCGGCAGCTGAGCGGGCACAAAAGCGAACTGCCGTGGCACATGAATGACGAGTCGTCGTCGCATGCCGAGGGGGGGGAGCGGAACAAGTTAACGAGCGCGTGCAACCGCACAACAAGCTCAAAAGCGCAGCAAAGCGGATGGGAAGAGCACATTCGCGAGGATATTTGTCAGACCGCCACGCACAACCACGGAACAGGCAGAAAGCGCGACAGCCACAAAACAGCCCATTCCCAGACACGATTGCGCGCACCGCGAGTTTTACCGCAAGCGCGGAAGAAATGGGCGCGCCATATGGCAAGAAGGCTCGCAGCCACAGCCATGCACTGGGCGGCGTTCCACCGCGCAGCAGCGATACGCCGCGATTCGGGAGCAGCGCAGCCAATTGGTGCACAGTCGCGCAGATGTTTGCACCAACCGTCAGCGGAGGCGTTTCGCACTGCTCAAGTAGGGCGCTCGGAACAGCGCTCGTTCAGTGGCGCAGTCGACGGCGGCGTCAACCAACACCGACTCGACCCGTGTACACATGGCGCCGAAATGTGAGCTCGCGCGCCGTCACTCGCTGTGAACCCGCGTTCTCGCATCACGTGGTGCCAAGCAACCGACACTGCTCTGCCGTCGGTGCACTAATTTCGTCTCCCTCCCCGCCCGCCCCACCTCTTCGCCCTCCTTCTCCCGTCGATCCATGTCGCCCTAGCCGACAAGCCTCAAATTCGACCCGCGCCCTGTCTTCGTTGCCCGCCAAGGTCGCCCTTTCCAGCCTCAACTCCCCTCAAAATGAACCCAGCCTTCGTCAACTCCCTCCCGCGACTCCCGCTGCGTCAGCCGCTTCGCCACCCGCTCTGTCCTGCAACTACCACCCACGCCCCGCCTCGTCGCCCTTCTGCGAAGCCTCTTCGCATGACATGTGTCCCAATAACACCAACTCCCCACGACAATTCGGACATCCCCGCCCTTCCAACCCTAGCCCAACTCGAGCTCAGAGCTGGAGATTTTGCCGCCGCAGCGAGACTACTCTCCAAGCACGTCGCCCAACAGCCCTACGATGCCCGTTCATGGCTCGCCTACGGCAAAGCCGTTCGCACGGCCCACGGCCCCAAACAGGCCGCCCAAGTCATGCAACAAGCCGTCACCCAAGTACCTCACGACGCCTACATCTGGCATTTCTACGCCCGTTGTGAAACTGCCGCATCCGGCAAATCCTCCGCCCGCAAGATCTTCAAAGCCGCCCTGCAGAATTGCCCGGACAACCCCGTCCTGCTCGGCTCATTGGCCTCTTTAGAATCGAATGTCACCAACTTTGACACCGCCGCAAAACTGTTTGCCAGAGCACTCACAGTGGACCCACATGACCCGTACCTGTACATGCAGTGGGCAAACATGGAGATGCGGCGAAACAACTCATCACAGGCCGCCAAAATCTTTGAGACGGGCGTCAAACGCGTGCAGACTGCCAGTACAGCCGCCTTGTACACAGCCTATGCTGGACTAGAGGCGAACCGTGGAAACGCTCAACGTGCTCGCTTTCTCTACATGCGCGCTGCTGGCGTCGATCCGAAAGACAAGCTTGTATGGCATGCGTGGGCATGCCTGGAAGAGCGTACGGGACACATTGCTCGCGCCCGCGAGTTATTCGACAGAGCCATTGTAGCCGACCCGTCCTACCCGAGCAGTTGGCAGGCATGGGGCTTACTCGAGGAACGCCAGGGTGACATGCACGCTGCCAGATGTCTCTTCGAACGCGGTACACGTGCCGATCCTCGAGACTCACTCAACTGGCAGGCGTGGGCCATACTTGAATCCAAGAACGGAAATCTCACAGAGGCTAGACGACTGTTTGCAGAAGCTGCTCAGAGACTGGGCAAGAGAAATTCTGCACTGCTCTTCAGTAGCTGGGCGCGGTTGGAAGCTGATGCGGGCGATATTGACACCGCTAGACAACTCTTTCAACGGGGAGTATCAGGTCGCAGTGAACGGCGAGATGATGTTGTTCGCCTGATTCATACCTGGGCGGGTATTGAGCGGAAGGGAGGTAATACAGAAAAGGCGAGGGAATTGTACCAACGAGCTTTGCGTGTCAATGCACGTGATTACAGAACACTGCACGCGTTCTCGTCGCTGGAAGAGGAGGACGGGAATTATGACGAGGCACGCGAATTGCTCAAAAAGAGTGTGCGATTCTCATCGGGCGATTTGATGTCGGTGAGATCTCTGGCTATTCTAGAGTGGAAGCATTTCGGACATGATGGTGGTGTTGATCGTGCACGCGAGTTGTTTTCGAGGACGTCGAGACAAAAGCGGCATGACGCTTCGTTGTTGCGTGTGTGGGCTTCTCTTGAGGAGGATCAGGGAGATTCTGGACTGGCGGAACGACTACGATCACTTGCAAACAGGAAGAAATAACTGAATCGTCACTAAACTGATGTTAGAAGAGGTTTACAAAACGGAATCCCCACTAAAATTGCCTTCAAGATTCTAAGATTCCACTTTGCCTGTTTTTCGTTCGAAGGGAGAATATAACACAACACAGTCGAGGTAGGTATGAGCTGTTTGTCGGTGGCAGTAACGACTTTCTGGCCGAATCATGTCTTCTGGATGGATGTGATGGTTCGCAGGACATCCGCCTTCAAAGAACTTGGGTCATGCCCACGGTTCCCTGGCTTGCGCTTGTGCGTTCTTCGATCCCGATTGCTGCGGAGTGGTACCTAGGCTGTAGAAGTAAACTGCGTTCGAACGAAAACGCCGTGTTCCGCATCTCCGAAAGCCGATGCCGAGTAGAGCCCCGGTCACGATGAAGATCAATGACACCAGACAGAAGATGGAGGAGTTGCCGATACCAAAAATGGCTTGCGGTCGGCGATAGGGTACTCCAGCTGATCAACACGACAGGGCACACTGTAAAGAAGTGCGCAAATCGATGAGATGCAAGTTGCGCGACCTGTGAAGAACAATGGGAGGTTACAAGAGCTGTGAAAGTTATGATATCTTATAGGGCGCTAAACTAATCCTGCGTTCTGCATCTCTTCCAGCATGGCGAGACCAAGATGAGCGGGACTTCTGACCACCCTAGCATCTGCGGCTTCCAAAGCGCTGATCTTATCGGTAGCAGTTCCCTTGCCGCCCGAAATAATAGCTCCAGCATGACCCATGCGTCTCCCCGGAGGCGCCGTCACACCCGCAATAAAGGCGACAACCGGCTTCTTGACCGGGTGTTGTTTGAGAAACTCTGCAGCCTGCTCTTCGGCCTGTCCGCCAATCTCGCCAATCATAACGATGCCCTTTGTTTCAGCATCGTTGAGAAACATGTCAAGACAGTCGATAAAATCGGTTCCATTGAACGGATCACCACCGATTCCAACGCAAACACTCTGCCCCAAACCAACTTGGGTGGTTTGATTAACGGCTTCGTAAGTAAGCGTTCCCGATCTGGACACGACTCCGACGGAGCCAGCCTTATGAATATGACCGGGCATAATTCCAATCTTACATTGTTCCGGCTTAATAATGCCCGGACAATTGGGGCCGATAAGTCGCGTAGCGGTAGAATCATTGAGGAGAGATTTAACGCGAACCATATCGCGTTGTGGAATGCCCTCTGTAATAGCGACGACGAGCGGCATCTCGGCTCGAATAGCCTCTTCAATGGCGCCGGCGGCGCCCGCAGGCGGGACGAAGATGACGGAGGCATCTGCGCCGGTGTGCGTGCGAGCTTCTTCAACAGATGCGAAAACAGGGCGATGCAAATGTGTTTGCCCGGCCCTCTTGGGGTTGGTTCCGCCAACTACGTTGGTGCCGTACGCAATGGCCTGCTCGGCGTGGAAGGTGCCTTGCTTGCCGGTGAAGCCCTGGAAGAGGACGCGGGTGGCGGCGTTTACGAACGGGGCTGGTCGGGAGGATAGATGTCTTACTGCGGGGGATGCCATGTTGACGCTGGATTGCGGGCGCGGGATGGCGTCGGGTGTGGGGATGTGGGACGGGCGGGCGACGTCGGCGGTTTGAGCGAGAAGCGGGTTTGTTGATTGGGGGATGGGCGGTGTTGTCGGCGTGGCATGGACGCGTGGGCGCGACGGGAGCGGATTTCGAGCACACGTTGAACAGCAATGCAGACGGCGAAACGCAGCGCAGACGGAGGGAAAAAGAAAAGCCGAATGCGAGATTCGAACTCGCGACCTCACCCTTACGAAGGGCGCGCTCTAACCAACTGAGCTAAGCCGGCACTGGAAAGGGCGTTGCTTTGAGCAACAGTTGTGGAAGCGAAAATGGTTGAAAATTTTCAAACAATGGGATCAGATCAGCAGATGCACGCGCACCAAAAAGAATTAAATTCGGTTGCCAACAAAGACAATACACCTGTAGCTCTCCCGTTGGTGCATACCCAGAGTTATTACTCGGGAAAAAGAATCAGAGAAAAGAACCGAAATTTGGGGCGCAGATTGCGAACGAAAAAGGGCTCAAGACACGCTGCACGAGTCAAAAAGAAAGCTGGCGCCACAAATACCAAGGGTAAGTGAATCGAAAAACTCACACGATCGCAGAAAGAAAAGGAGCCGAAAAAATTCAGCGAGCAAGCGCGCCACGACGAGTGATCAAAAACATTTCGTACGACGAAAGATACGATGTATCTTGTTTGCTTCGAATCTACTCCACGAACGGTCGTCGCAGTAGAGAGAGCCTATCCGTGACGTTGCGTTTATTCTTGGCTGGTGCGCTTGCACCTGCGTTTGTGCTATGTGGATGTTTGTTGGGTGCGCTTTCTCTTCGCGGGCGGCTAGCACTGTCGTGCTGAGCGGTTGGGAACGCAGTGCGTCGTTGTTAGGTAAAGGCTTGTGCATAGAGAGGCCGTGTGAGCGGCATCGCTTGAGCAACACGGAGAATACGAACGCGTAAGGATCGTGCAGTTACGACGCGCAGGGCCGCTTGCGCCGCACCGGTTCCAACAGGAACGAATGAAAAGTTTAGTATGAAAACAAGTAAAAAACCAAATCTACAGGTCGCGTCCACAACGGCGCATCAACCAGAATATAGCACACAAAACGAAGAGGGACAAGGTATTTGTACACAATCGCCCAAAAGCGAAAGACGGGTGTTACGCATGCTTTGACGATGCGAGTCTCTTCTCTTCCGAGTAGGAGTGGAAGCCTTGAAATACGAGCATGCACCCGATGACAAACGGTGCCACCACGCAGTACATGGTTTCCGGGTACGTCTTGAGCAGCGTTTGCGCGAGCGCAAGCGCGTTTCCCGCTGCTGCTCGCGGAAGTGTTGGCGCTCGCGGCGGGATGAGTGTCGCCAAGCCGTTCAAGGACAAGCGCGATGACGGGCGGCAGCGACGGTTGCAAACAGCGTTGGAGAACATTTGGCAGTCGGGGGAACGACTTTGTACGGGGTGGGTTGTTGGGTTGTGAGTTTGCGGCGGTTGCGATGTGCAGTGCGATCAGAATGGTGGCGAGGGCTGGGAGCAGAGCGGAGAGCGAGGGGCGGGTCACGGAGTGGCGTTTTAAATGGCGCAGAGCAAGTCGAAAACGGTGCACGCCAGTGGAAGATTGCACCGCCATCATCGTCCAATGAAAATGCAGCGCTGCATTTGGTGCAGCCGAAGGCGAGTGTCGCCCCGAAGCGGCACGTCATGACTTTTCAGCTCACGTCATTGGACGCTCTGCACATGTGTTGATTTTCGAACGCGCCAATGAGCGACCGCTCGTTCAGCACCGCGCGCACTCGCGCTGCTTCCAATAAAGTTTACGCGCTGCTTCCAATAGGCGCTGCTGACAGATGCAAACGTCGCGCTTATACTGTAAGCCCTGGAGCACTGCTGCCTGCTTTGTATCTCGCTGTATCTACTGTACCGCCTTGAGAGCACTCGCTCCCCTTCGGCCAACTGCCCGCACCTGCTGCTGCTTCTGGACAGTCGCGCGCGCATTGCATTCGGCGCTGCCTGTCCAACTTTTTGACTTGTCCCCTCGTGTCCCGAATGGGTTGCTCCTTTTCAGAGGTATCATACACACAGTAAGAGGCATAGCAATGCGAAACGTGTCTTGTCAGCAAAACAAATGCCTCACCGCCCACAATTCCACGTTAGGCGTGCGGTTGGCACATCAGCTTTGCCTGATGCTCGAACCTAAAGTTACCTTGTCCAACAAACGACTGGCCTCGCAATTCACAGTCGCCGTTTTCACCTGCGCTCCACAACAGCGCTTGCGCCCAGCGCTTTCCGTACCCCCAGGAAAGCAGCAGCAGCTCCTCGTCTATCGTGATATCTGCTAGTCCACAACGCCGCTCCGCTCGTCTGCCAGTCCACGACACTCGTATCTGCTCCTGGGAACAGTGCTCGCGACCAATCGTCGCAACGCCTACTCTATCTCCTCCAAAATCAAATTCCCTTCACCCCATGCTCTACATTCCACCAATTGTCCAACTTGGTCGTATCCAGGCATGTCGCCCCTGGCTTTGTCCTCCGCCTTCCCCTACCTCCCCCTGACGCGTCATCGCACCCAGCGAATATGACATCCCGTCTGTGCAATGCGCAGGCAATGCTTCAGTCCGTCGCACAACACGCGCCCACGTCCTAAGTCAGCAGCGCACGCCTTCCGACTCCCACCGAAACCGCCCTCAGAACTACATATCCACGCATGCGCTGACAACCCGCAGGGATTGTGTGTACACGACCACAACCTGAAGGGTTACCTCCCCACACAAAACGCACACACTCACATGCATCCTTAAATACATGCATATACTTCACCTTTAGCCGCTCAAGTTCAGCGATGCCCCGCTTAGATCAACGGCATTTCCGTTCCGCCTTACCTCGCCACTACCCTACCCCTTCGACTTTTTTTACCCATCTTCGCAGAACAAGAAAGCCTTCAACCGCAGTATCTGTGTTCGTACATCCTACACATGAATCCACAAGCGTCATTTTGCAACCCCGTTCCCATCAAACGGCACACAACAATGTTCGCGCCTTGCAACCATGACACTTACATATTCAGCCTTACCCATGAAATGTCATCACTTCTCTCCTTCAACACCAACGAGCAAACACTTCATTCAGTTAGCTCTTCTTCTTCTTCTTTTTTTGAGAGCTAGGTGAGGGATCCCGACTCCTATTTTGCGCACCGTCGGAGCCTCTCTGATCCTAGGGCTATGTTCCCGGAAGCAGACTCGATCGCTTAATCCATTTGCTTTCCATTGACGGAAGGTCGGCAAATCACAACGGGAGGAGTGCACACACCTTGTGGCTCGCTAGCGGAATCAGCTCCTGCTTCCATTCGGTGACTTCCCGCAATACCCGCTACCACTTAACGTACAGATATGCTCCAATGTCAAGATCAGTCGCGATATCCTTACGCACCTTCTGTCTCGCTTCATTGACTGAAACGTTCTGAACTCATTTCCTTGTGTGAAATCCCGTCGCTTCTTTGCTGACTCGTACCAGAAGAAGAGTCCGTGCGCGGTGTTCACACACCATACGCAGCCATACTTGTGGTACCGGCGTGCTTTACCGTGCCTTCATCCAACGTTTCCACTTAACCTCAAAAGTTACGCCGCCATGTACCTCCATCTCACTCTACGGGACACTGCATTTCACGCCTAGTCTCTCGCAGTCCATTTCTCACATCTTTTATCGGTAGAGCCACAAGCATGGCCTTGTTCTCGGGCTGATAGGGTTCTAAGTAGAAAGGCTTCGTGTTGGGTGCGAAGGGCTCTAGGACCATTCGATTTCTCATGGGCTCTGTGGGAAGCCCATGTGCCCATGTTTTCCTGATTGGCTCATGGAAAACGCCATGCCTAGAGAACTCGAATCCCTTTTGAACATGCATGAGACACCACAGCTATGGCTCCAGCGCTTGTGAGCGTACGTGACCGGCGAAGCTGACTGTGGTGATGTAATGAGGGTATATGCGAGACCTCGTGGTGCTGGTTCTTGTCCCGTCTGGTCTCTCTGTCTGAGAGCCGCGGATGTTTTATGAAGCTTAACATCAATACCCAATCTCATGACAACTACAAACAAGCTATAGTGCAAGTGTGGTACGCCAATGCGTTTCGTATTCTGTTCTTGTGTGTCCATTTGACCAGCAATAAAGGTGGAACACAGGACTTTTGAAAAGTTGTTCCACGGCATACGATGTAATTCTGCGCATGCCTCGCTCAAAAAAGTGTTTGTGTGTGTATGTGTGACTTTACGGGCACGTGCCTCTGATTCTGAGGGAGCGGTATTAACTTTCTAGAACAAGTAGAAGGCTAATCATCTATTCGACGGCTAAATTTCCCTAATAGGCCCAATCGCATATCCATTTGGCTTCCTCATCCGGCGTAGCTTCATATTCTTTTTGTGACCTTTTCGGAAGGTCGGCACATCTCGACGGGCGGAAGTGCATGTGCCCTTAGCGGAAACAGTGTATGATCATCTGCCTCGTTGGATCCATACGCCTACCGACGTAACTTCGAAGAGATGTATACGCTGGCCCAGGGCGTGGATTCAACACGAACTCGTGAGCGTGTTCGTAATCTAGACAGTGCGTTCCGCACTTTGCCACATGCCATTCGAGATGCGATCTTGCCAATCCGGGAAACCGACATAGTAGCCCGAGTATTTTTAATCGTTTGAATTCTGACGGAACAGAAAGCAGTTACGGTACCAAGGGTAATTTCTTTTTGCTCTCTTGTATTTCTGACTGCTTTTCTTTGGTGCTCAAAAGCCAGTTCGTCATAGGTGTTTGCAAGTAGTCAGTCAAGTTTAGTCACTGATATAGTCGCTGCGTTTAAGAACTGAAGATCTACAATTCATTTACTTTGTATGAAGAACCGTGTTTGGATATCTTACGTATGAACGGTTTGGCAAAAGGCAAAAGCCTTACGGTGCTACAGGGATGTTTGCGACGATTTCCCACTTCGGCATCCACAAACACACGAACTACTGCGGTCATCTCGAGTGTTCCGGAAAGCAATGACTGCTTTTGGTTTCCTTCTATTCTCCCGACGTCACTTAACAGTCTCTCAGCTGACAAATATGATACTTGTGCTGACAAGGTGGCTCTTGCGAGAGGATTGAACGGCAAAGGGCTGAAACATCTTTGGCGTTCGTTTGCTTCCCTTCAGAACTCTAGAGCTTCATAAAGGTCCCATTTCCATGCGTTTGCAAGTTTGCGTACATGTTACGGAAATAAGCTAGACACTGCTCCCATCTGCTCTTGGTCGCCGAACATCGATCTGTCG